GAGATGAAACACTCTGGACTGAGGGTCCACAGTAAATGTCCCATGTACCCCGTGTGTTACATGCTTGGACCCTAACTCCTATTCTGTACAGATAGCTGCAGCGATCACATGTCCTGGTGCACCGTCCTCTCTCTCCCCTAACAGTATCTGATCTTTTCTGTTCTTACGGTATGATTTAAACAAGCTGTTTCATGTGTTACTCTGAATTGCCTCATCTTTTATTGAAGTTGGATGTAAATTATAAATAATAAATGATGAATTTGGCCTCCATTTTGACTGACCTCATTAGACTTTAGATGGGAGTCATAGAGACCCACAAAAGTACATTTCAGTTGTTTTGGTGCCGAGAAGTAAGGGCCAGAGTTCATAAATAAAATAACAGGAATGGTTCTATCTTACACGTACTGGTCAGGAAACTGGAGGAATCCCTGGGCTGTGCAACCCCAAGAGACGGAGCTGCAGACCCGCTGTTAACACAGAGCAGTTTCAACTGCATAACTGAGGGCAGTCCTCACACTGCTCTGTGGGAAAGACTATTGTTTGATTGTTGGTCTTTGTAGCTGCATTGCACCAAAGTACCTCTCCTCAATTTATCATGGTGCAAGAAACTCTTAGCTTCATAAACTGTGATGTGAGCCAACTGAATTAATCTCTTTCACTTGCTTTGTTGGAAGAAGGGCTCCAGGGTCACAGTAGCCCTGAGAGCACATTGGGCTGGTAACAAAGATTTGATCCCATTTCTACAAACTTCCAGTTCAGGCTTCCCTCTACTTTTATCTTAAGTTGGAGACATGATTCATTTGTTCAATTTCGTTAAGTAGTTGTAAACTGAACATGGGTGCTGGAGATATAACGGTGGAGAAGATAGAAAAAAAATCCCCTGCTTTCCCAAAGCTTATGTGCCCACAGGGAAGGTACACGTTATATTGTATAATGTGCATTATGATAAGGAATACTGCAGATCCAGTACCTGATTCCATGGAGGCACCTAATGCCCCCTGATCTAGTGTATCCAAAAAGGCCTCCTGAAAGATGGGGTGTTTAAGAGAAGGCTGATGGACGAACGGGTGTTACCCAATCACGGAGGTGGTGTGGGACGGAGCGTGGATGGAATGCCTGAGATAAGGTAAAGAAAAATAAATCTTCACGTCTGGTATGAATGTTCCAGGATGGGCAATAGCTAAACCAAACCAAGGATTCTAGAAGTAATCCTGAAGGCAGTGGGAAAGGGAGGGAAACAGATTGCCTGTGAGTATGGATCGAGAGTCACAGAGAGCCTTAGCATCATTAGCTAAATACCCCAGAATATACTTCAGCCTAGAGTCCCTGCCTCATCTTATGATAATGTGAAGAATGCACAGATGTTTATTTTCCTAGGGGTAGGTGGGAGGAAAGAGAAGCCAGTGTTCTCCTACTGGGTGCTATCCTTCAGTTTATTCAATACATGTCCATGAATAGCTGCTGTATTCAAAGGCACACACACAGGTTGTACCAGGCACTCCTGAAGAGTCAGCGGGCAAGGGAATATGTGTTGAGTGTCTGCTCACACGTGACACTCTCAGAGTTATGGTTGGGGGAGGCTTGTTTACAGTAATCTGATGGGAAAAGCAGAGAAACAAAATGAGATGGCCTATCTGCAAACAGACATTATATAGATGACTTAATGTTTTAATAAACAACCAAGTTGATCTCAGGATTATATCTAAGGATAAGAGAATTTTTGGGTTTCGGGTTTTAAGAAAAGATTAGCCACAAATTTCAGTTTTATGATCCCAAATTACTTTTTGTTGCAAGATCTGAGTGCGAACCATATGCCAGGCATCATACCAGGGATACAAATGGAGGTCGTTGTCCTGGCCGGTGAAGAGGTTACAGAGTAGTGGAAGCTATAGACAGATGAGCAAATACATTATAGTTAGATAATAACTCTTACTAAAAAGGAGTTAAAGTAACATGGGCAACTTTGTACCTATTTAATTGGTTCTTTCACACTGCAAAAATGAGAGGAATGCCTTTCCTGAATTTTTTCTATTGACACTATCTTGAATAAAATGGTTGAAATTGAACACATTCCTGCGTTCTTATAAAATTTTCTAAATAGAATAAGATGTCTAATAAAATTATAAAAGTGATGAGCCATTTCCTGTTTGGGGAATTAATCTTTTGTTAATCAGAGAAGGAACAGGTAGCAAATTGCACTCTACAAATGAAATTGTTTTAATCACAAGGAGACATTTTCAGTGTGATGAGACAGTTTTCTATCAGTAGACTAAAGAAAATCAACCAATGGATAAAGCCCCAGAAAACTTTATAAGAATGCCCACGTTGCTTTCTTTTTTAAAAAGACTGAAATAACTTATTCATAGTATTAAGTGATTTTGTAGAGCTTTCTTCTTACATGCTATACACCAATTTTCATATCTCAACATGAACAGGTTTCTGGTTATATTTGAAACATGCAAAGGTATCATGTCCTACCATTCATATATGATTTCACTGATATATTCATTCAACAAATATTGAGTGCCTAACTGTACCAGACTGAGATACAAAGACCTGCTCTTTTTTTTTCTTTTTTTATCTATAAAATTTTTTTTAGATTTTTTTATTGTTATGTTAATCACCATATATTACATAATTTGTTTTGGTGTACTGTTCCATGATTCATTGTTTGTTCATAACACCCAGTGCTCCATGCAGAATGTGCCCTCCTCAATACCCATCGCCAGGCTAACCCATCCCCCCACCCTCCTCCCCTCCAGAAACCTCAGTTTGTTTTTCAGAGTCCATCATCTCTCCTGGTTCGTCTCCCCCTCTGACTTACTCCCCTTCATTCTTCCTCTCCTGCTATCTTCTTCTTTTTCTTTTTTCTTAAAATATGTTGTGTTATTTGTTTCAGAAGTACAGATCTGTGATTCAACAGTCTTACACAATTCACAGCGCTCACCGTAGCACATACCCTCCCCAATGTCTATCACCCAGCCACCCCATCCCTCCCACCCCCGACCACTCCAGCAACCCTCAGTTTGTTCCTGAGATTAAGAATTCCTCATATCAGTGAGGTCATATGATACATGTCTTTCTCTGATTGACTTATTTCACTCAGCATAACACCCTCCAGTTCCATCCACGTCGTTGCAAATGGCAAGATCTCATTCCTTTTGATGGCTGCATAATATTCCATTGTGTATATATACCACATCTTCTTTATCCATTCATCTGTCGATGGACATCTTGGCTCTTTCCACAGTTTGGCTATTGTGGACATTGCTGCTATAAACATTGGGGTGCACGTACCCCTTCGGGTCCCTACATTTGTATCTTTGGGGTAAATACCCAGAAGTGCAATTGCTGGATCGAATGGTAGCTCTAATTTCAACTGTTTGAGGAACCTCCATACTGTTTTCCAGAGGGGTTGCACCAAAGACCTGCTCTTAAGGAGTTTACAGCCTGGAAAAACTGAATGAAATGATTAATGGTTATAAAAAGCATTTTTAGCCATTCTTCTCACTACTACCTCTAATAAAAAATTTAAGTTTACATTTTATATATATTTTTTCAAACCTCTTTTTTTTCTATTAGAACTGTGTGAAAACGCTCTTTTTCTGGGCATTGTTTATTTAGTGTTATGCCATAAAGGCTCACATCATGAATTAATCAAAGAGATTGACTCACTGCCATGATTCACCTTTGTTAATACCTTATATTTAAAAAGGAAGGAAGGGAGAGAGGGAGGGAAGAAGGAAAGGTGCAAAAGAGAGAAAGAAACTACAGAAGAGAGAAAGGGAAAGAGAAAGAAAGAGAAAGAGAAAGAAAGAAAGAAAGAAAGAAAGAAAGAAAGAAAGAAAGAAAGAAAGAAAGAAAGAGAAAGAAAGAAAGAGAAAGAAAGAAAGAAAGAAAGAAAGAAAGAAAGAAAGAAAGAAAAAGGAAGAAAGAAAGAAAGAAAGAAAAAGAAAGAAAGAAAGAGAGAAAGAAAAAGAAAAAACAAATGCTAATGAGCAAAACTATCCATGACGCTCTTTATGGATAATGTATAACAAGAAAAGGAAAAAAAATAAGCAAATTTTGGGGGGAACAGCAATTTGGGAGCATAGAAAGGAGGAAAAGTGAAATATAATAAATAGAATTGTACAACAAATCAGGGTTATTGTTAACCAAAGTTGGGAAAACAGGTGGTTAATAATCTGTCAATACAATCTAAAGAAAATCCTCAATTACATAAGCTATAGATTGAGAAGATCTTAAATCAGATGTTATCAAGAGGAAACAACTTATTGCAATTCCTTAATTCACATTAAATAATATCTCAGCCACCAATTGCCTTTGTGAAATCTACCATGTGACTAGAACTATGTCTCTTGCCTAGAAATAGGACAATTAAATAACTCATTGCAAACGAATACGTGATGTCTGATTTCATGAGTCATTTAATGCTTAATAACAGAAGCAAATCAATCAAGGGGAAAAATAGTTCAAATCCGTTGAAGCTTTAGATTTTTTTTTTTACTGCTTTATTTTTGAAATCTCAGCATTACAAATCGGAATTTTTCATTACTTCTGTTTCTCTTTTCTTCAGTCTCAAGTGCCAGTTTATTGAATTCATTGTATTGCATATGTAAATTTTAAAGTGCAAATTGTTTTACTTCATAGGCTTTTAAAAATGTTGATTGCACTGATAGAAGGTGCCATGAATAAGAATTCATACCTGTGTACAAGTAGGCATTTTTAAAAACTGTACGTCATTTTAAATATGCATTCTCATACTTTAGGATTAGTGAGTGAAAAGAGGAACTTTACCATGTAGAGTTTCCATAAACTTGCATTTACCGATCACCCAGAGTTTAAGCACAAGTGATTTTAATAATACCACAAACCCACTCAGTAACACAGCGGCTCCAAACTAGTCCTTTGCCTTCATTTGGAACCTATCGTCCACCACCCAGTTCAGAGCTTATTGTAGTTTTAACTAAGATTCAGTGGAATCCTTTTTATTTCTACAGATTTGAAGAATAATTGCTTCAAAGCATAAAATACAAGACAAGTATAAATCGAAGGACTGAATACTAGAGTTTCGTGGGGAGTTTCCTCAAAGCACACATCCGCTTCCTGCAGGGAGACTAATGGCGGCGCTACACAGAGACCACTGCATGGCCATCAGACTCCACCCCCTTTCCTTCCTGGACGCACAGTTTTAGCACATTTCCCAGATGCTCTTATCGGGGTCATGTGACTGAGGTCTGGCCAATGAAAACTGTGTACACCACTTGCAAGTTTGGCCCCTAAAAATCATCTTGCACAGGTCTCCAAGTTCTGTCTTGTGTTTTGAGCATCAGATGCACAGAATTCAAAGACTGAGTTTTGGGGGGGGGGATGGAAGAGGCGCCCCGAGAGAGTATGTGGAATAGATTTTCCCCTCTTCCTCCCACTGTACTTGCACTGGATTGTGACTGGAGCAAGAAGTGAACCTACGTTGCAATAGGTCCCTGAGGTATGGGGTTGTTTATGATAGCAGTTAATACACGATATATGATGCAGTTGGTAAAAGGGAGGTAGTGGGTAGGAGAATGAGAAAGCAAATATCCACACTTTACAGTTTGCCACTATATGCTTTATTGCTGTGTGGAAATGAATAAAACAATAGCAGAGCCATATGATGTGAGTGCCAGACACAAACAAAAAGTTACCAAACCAATATATTAAGGTTCAAATATATTTGAGGATCTTGCTATCATCTGTTTTTTTTTTTCCTTCATCCAAGTTTTTCATATCTGTGTCACATTTCCCCAAACATATACAGCTGCTGACTTGCCCTTAGGAACCCGTTGTTCATTTCTTCCATTCTGGACATTTCCCCCTTGATTATGTAACTTCTTCATCCTGAATTCCTTTTCCAAGTTGCTCAAATTATTTCGTTTTTCATAAATTGTTGATAACCGCTTTTTTGAAATTCAATTTGCAAGGGGCGGGGGAGATAAAATTGATTATTTCAGGATAGAAATAAAAGCCAGTTTTTAAAAATCATAATTTTTATTGTTAAAAACTAACATTTCCTTCTGTGTTTTTTTCTACCAGATATTGCAGTACGTTATAATGCTATGGTATTCAAAACCGGAACGGTGATGATGCTGTGACAGATCAGTGGATTGAAGTCAAAGACCCAGAGGCATATTCAAGTACATATAAATGTCACTGTTCTGTATACTCTATGTATACAAAAACATATATACGTATGTATAGGTTTCTGAGCCTTCTGAGTGAACATCTCTTGTTCCTTATATTCCCTTTTTATTCCCTTTTCTACATATATATATATTTTAAAATCATAGTGCTATAGCAAAGCCTTCAAAAAAGCTCCCAATGTTCCCCACCTCCCAGTTCACACCCTGGGCTCTTGGATCACTTGCTCTGGGGAAGGGGGCTGTAGCAGGAGAAGATGCTGCGAGCAGCCTCTGGAGAAGCCCATGTGACTAGGAACCGAGAACCCCAGCTGACAGCCAGCAAGTCAGTGAGGGCTGCCAAGGAACATGTGAGTGAGCAAAGAAGTGGATCTTCCCGCAGCTGAGCCTTCAGAGGACCGCAGTTCAAGCGACAGCTGACCCAGAACCGCTCAACTCTGCCACTCCCAGAGTCCTAATTCTCAGAAACCCTGTGAGATAATAAGTGTTTGTTGGTTTAAGCTGCTCTGCTAAGTGTTGGGGTAAGTCGTTTCACAATAGATAATTAAAACACATGGCATATAAATAAAATCAATCAGACCAATGCGGGTCAATGATTAGTGAGTTAAGATGCTTTGACAGATTTGGACACTTCTGTTTCATCTTAATTGTTTGCCTCAAAAGTAATCCCTAAGGGCAAAACATGTTAAAAGCTGTTCCCAACAGGATGTTAGAAAAATTAACAATTAGCTTTGGGAACTAAAGTGTAACCACAGCATTATTTTCCGTTTTATTAAACTCATTAAATGGTATTGCCATATATTTGTTTCTATTAAAAAACACGATATTAGACTCTGGGAGAAAACCTCTTACAAATTAGTCTGAAACTGTCATTTCTTCCTAGCGATATATAATGTAATTGCTTAGCGGAAGTTCCTAAGAGATGGACTGACTTTAACATATATTTAAGCATAATATTTTGACAAACAAGTTCCTTTGCAGTATTTGAAGATGGTTTTTTTCCTGTGCACCTCCTCCTTTATATTACTAAGACGGTTTGCAATCTCTGTCATTATTCTTGGTAGAAGATCAAACTTCAGTAGAATACCTAGGTGAATTCTAACAATTTCTGAACTACTGAAGCCCCACATAATGAAGATTTATCATGTGTGAGGAAACCAGAAAGGGTAAAATCCCAAGATGAGTCAAGGCAATAGTTCCAGGCAGCTTGTGTCCCTGCCAGGATCCCGCCACAAGCTTTCTCCATGCTCCACTAAGGTTGGAATTCAGCTTTTGGTACTAACTTGTCTCAATCTTGGCCACAGTGGTAATTTCATTTTCCTACTTGTTTTCCCTCAACTAGAATGACCAGGGGCAATTGATTTTTCCATGTAGAAAAAGGGGCAAATTGGATCCCTACTTCACAATTAAAAAAAAAAAATCTTCGCATGAATCAAGGGCTTACATACGAAAGGCAGAACTTTAAGAATTTTAAAAGCAAATGTAAAAATTATCTTTATGACCTTGGAAGAATTTCTTCATCAAAACAAAAAAATTCCGAATCACAAAAGAAAAGATTAGAATATTTACATCATTAACTATTCTCTTCTCTCTCTTATTTACTTTTAAATATTATATTACTCACAAGAATTTTTAGGGGGAGTGATGTGATTTAATACCTTTCATTATTTTTGCAATTTGGGTACAAAACTTAGTAATACAGAGTCAGATCCAAGATCAATTTGCTCCAAGATCAATTTGCATGTGTGTGTGTGTGTGTGTGTGTGTGTGAGAGAGAGAGAGAGAGAGAGAGAGAGAGAGTCTTAGTTGTTATGACCGTCTTAGCCTTATTTTCCTCATTCATATTTTTCTCAATTATTTTCTGAATTTTCTTAATTATTGTTTTCTTTTTGTACTGAGATATCTTTGTAAGTTACATCAAAACTAATAAAGTAGGGAATAAACAAATAAGTTGAACAAACCATCAGATTCAATTTATGCTCCCAACAAATAAGCATTTATAACTCAAGCCTTCAAAAAATTATAACAATTTCATAATGAACAATGGATAATTTATGGAGACTTTATGGCAGCAGTGAACACAATTATAGGTAAATTGTCTGCAACAAACTAAATTCTGGAATATCTGAATTCCCTATAATCTCAGAACCGGAATACAGAAACTATCAGTAAGAGATAATATTTTCTAGTCATCTAAAGATTATTTGTCAGGTTATCTCACTAATTTTTATCAGGTTGTGTCTTATATTGCATTTGCTAAATGGAAGAGTAACTACTCAGACTTTACCTGAGGTTCCCGTAAACCTTCTCAGAATACAAAGAAGGATGAGGGACCAGCTTTTGTTCTTCACAATTCAATTTTGTTCTATGATGCAGAAGTTGCAAAGCTTTCATCAACAATTACTGAATACTTTCATTGTCATCCCCACGTGGGAGTTCTGAAAGACTGTTTGAAATTCGTTCAAGTAACAGAGGAGAGTGCACAGGGCAGCCTTCTGTATTAAACAAAGAATAAGAGAAAAATATTCACTTCCATCAAAGGTGCAAGCAATAGAGCATCAACACAAACAAAGCAGACATAAGCCAGAAAGCCTACAGGAAACCATGGAAGGAAGATCAAAATCAGATTCTTTAGAAGGTGAGTGGTATAAAGAAAATGCAGTGTTATTTGCAAAAGAATTTTTCTAAAAGAAAAACAAGTCTGAATAGACTATTATTAGTGAGACACTTCTTCACAAACTGAGTTTCAGACAGTGGTTCGAGTTGTAAGGACTCCAACGGTACCCCACATAACGCTGAGCAGAAGAGTTCACAAAAATATTCTGCCACCGGCACATTCAGACCAATGCAAATCATCCTCGATCAGTAAATTCCTAATGTATTGAAAACTCATGAGTACCTCATACTTTCTTCTAAAGAAATTATGGTTCAGATGGATTATGGGTGAAGGTATATTAGAAAAATAATCCACAGATTGCTTAAAAATCATTTGTTGTAGTTAATTAATGTCATTATAGCAGTTGAGCAAAACCTAACCCCAGGGTGAAAAGCTCACATCATTCTAGACTTATTCATACCTCTCAGAGGCCTAAGTATTTTATATCCATATCACTCTATTTTAAATGTATAAAATAATTTACTTCTTTGACACTAAAAAAGTGAAATGTCTAATTAGAGAATATATTCAAGATTTATCATGACACCTGACAGATAATACAAGCACTTCCTAAACATAATGCACTATTATAAATTGTACCAATTGATCATATTAGCATAAATGTCAAAGTAAGATTCTGAGTACCTGAAAGTAATATTACTTTGGGAGGGAAGAAAATAGTCGGTAAATAGTACTCCTGTGATCATCATGGTGGTGGTTTGCATATTCCAGGCTCCGTGCTCAGCATGGAGTCTGATTCTCCCTCTGCCCCTCCCCTCCCCCCTCATGCTCTCTCTCTCTCTCTAAAAAAATATAAATAAAGTCTTAAAAAAAAAGAAGAGAGAGAGATCCTGAGGGCTGCCCAGTGTGTGGGCTGCGACGTTGATGGGCGCCACCCTCACTGACATCATAGATGAGACATCAACAGTAGTGCAGTGGAATGCCCAGCTAGTTAAGAACTACAAAGGAAAATATTTCAATAAAGGATCACTTGACAACCATAAATAAATAAATAGACTCCGAAATTGCTACCCTGGCTCATTTCTAGTCAGATGGATAAATATCAGAGCCCAAAAGGAATGCGAATCAATTCCTTTAAAAAATAAACTGTTAATATTTTTTTCCTATTCATTTAGTATAAATAAATGCAAAAGAACATGCAATAGCCTGCCTGACATGGCTAATTCTTTTCCTTCTATTGTGTCTCATAACATGCACCATCTGGCCCCCTACTCCAGCGACCACCTCTTCGTTATCTTCCAACAAACTGGCACAATTTGGAATATCTTTCTCCTAACCACTACTAGTGGTTCTTCAAACAGAATAAAGGCCAAAACTGTCTTTATTTCACTCTTGATAATGATGTTCTTGTATACTTTTGTATATGGTATTGTATCAAGATTGGTTAGGTTGTGACACAGTGACAGACTCCAAAATCTTTGTGGCTTAAAGCATAAAGTTTACTTATTTCTTGCTTCTGCTCTATATCTATTGCAGGTTGGAAGTAGGACTCTGTCTTTGATAATCTCTCAGGGCCCCCGGCTGGCTGAGCACCTGCCATCTTAAATATTGTCAGTCACAGACCAGAGGGAAAAACTGATGTGGTGAAGGAGACACTGCCTCTTTCACTTTCTCTAGCCAGAGAAATTACTTGCCACACCTAATTCCGAGCACACAGGGAAATACAACCCTACCATGTGTTGTGAAAGAGGGACAGCCTGGAATCTGCAAACCACCATCATGACGATCACAAGAGTACTATTTACTGATTATTTTCTTCCCTCCCAAAGTAATATTATTTTCAGGTACTCAGAATCTTACTTTGACATTTATGCTAATATGATCAATTGGTACAATTTATAATAGTGCATTATGTTTAGGAAGTGCTTGTATTATCTGTCAGGTGTCATGATAAATCTTGAATACATTCTCTAATTAGACATTTCACTTTTTTTACTGTACCACTGTTGATTTCTCATCTATGTTGTCAGTGAGGGTGGTGGCCATCAACGTCGCAGCCCACACACTGGGCAGCCCCCAGGATCTCTCTTCTTTTTTTTTTTTTAAGACTGTATTTATTTATTTGAGAGAGAGACAGAGCATGAGCAGGGAGGGGAGGGGCAGAGGGAGAAACAGGCTCTGTGCTCTGCAGAGCTAAACTCAGCAGGAGCTGACTCAGGGCTCAAACCCAGGACCTGGAAATCATGACTTGAGCTGAAAGCAGATACTTAACCAGCTAAGCCACCCAGGTGCCCCCCTTTTTAAAAAAAGATTTTATTTATTTATTTGAGAGAGTGAGGGAGCATGAGTGGGGGGAGGAAGGGCAGAGGGAGAGGGAGAAGCCGACTCTCCACTGAGCAGGGAGCCCGACTTGGAGCTTGATCCCAGGACCCTGAGATCATGATCCAAGCCAAAGGCAGATGCTTAACCAACTGAGCCACCCAGGCACCCCACAGGATCTCTTTTATGATTCCAGAGGGTTCTCTGGATAAAGATCAGTGCCTCCTCTGTCGGGCAATGTTGACAATCTCATCAAAAGTGATATTTCCACTGTGCTAAATGTTTTTCTCCTTCTTTCTATCTCTTGGTGATTCCTTGACGTCTTTGATAATCAGGGCAGAGGTAGAAGGTACCACTTCAGTCTGGGCCTCTCTGTTCCGAATGGTCAGTTTCACTGTCATCCTCAGACCCTTCCCATCACTGGTTACCTTGGCAATGTCATCATCAAACTTTTTTGGGGACAGACCCAGCCTGCCCATCTTTGGGGCCAAGGCAGACATGGCACCAACTTCCCCACCGGTGCACCTCTGGTATACGACTTTGATCTTGTTGGGATCGAACTCAGGCAGCATGGCAGAGGTGGAGGGTGTCGGATAAACCCGGATTCGATGAACCCAGATGACTGAAGACAGTTGCACCTTCGCTTCCTCCGAGCCGAAAGCCAAAAGCACTTATTTATTTTTAAAACTCAATTCATATTGTAGATACCATTGACTTTAAAGTTTTTTATTATGTTAATTTCATGAGGGAAGGAACCTTGTTATCTTGTTCAAAGCTCTGTCCCCAGTATCTAGAATAGTGCACATAATAGACTTAAGATAAGTATTTTTTGAATGAATGAATGAATCTA